AGATGAGGCACTTCACTTAACTGAAAGCTGGGAGAGGTACCGTTTCCCCTTGGGGAGAAATTCTGCTAGGTCCGTGATGGTGAACCTACGGGACGCATGCCAGGGATGGCGGGGGGCCTGTGCCTCATCACCAGATGCTCTTCTGGTTTCTGGTGTGCACATGTGCGTCGGCCAGATGGTCTTCGTGGGCGCCGGAGCACTGGAAAACGACCTGAAAATCGACCAAAAAACAGACCGTTTTTCGCGCCTTTTTCAGGACACTTTCAGGCTGGGTTTTTTGGGCCCAGACGGCCTGAAAACGGCCACCAAAACAGCTGGAAAACAGCCTGAAAAATGGCCCAAACCAGGCCATTTGGGTCTGAAAATGGCCTAGAAAAAAGCCCCCCAAACGGCCCCAAAACAGGCATTCGCACATCAGCCAGCTGGTCTTGTGTTTTCCAGCGCTCTGACACGCACACAAATGCACGCACATTTCCGTTTGGCTCGGTGCAGAAAAAATTCGCCATCACTGTACTACGTACTTAGATCAGTGCCAGGGAATCTGTTGGACAGCAGGTCCCAACCTCCCTCAGCGATAACATCTGGGGGCTACACATCTGGAAGGAAGCGAACCGTATCTTCCAGCTTAGGAGTCAAGCCACAGAATGAGGAACCTTCAACCTGGGGAAATGCCAGAAGCAGGCGCCATCTTTTGGGGGGCGGGGGGGGAGATCTGTTCAAATGCCAAATACAAGCCGCCTGCTAGCAAAAGAAATAACAAGATAAAAAAAAACGGAACCCGTCTCGAAAAAGGATGTTTGTCATAAACCATCGTTTCTGCCTTGTTTTCTGAAAATGTCTCAACTTAAAGCACTTTGCAGTTACAAAAAAGGCAGGCGATTCTTAAGCTTCCGTCCTGTTGCCATTCACTATCCAGCTTAGCAGCACGTATGCTCGCATTTGCCGCCTCTACCAGCTCTGTCTGGGGGGGGGGAAAAAATCTGCTTTTTAATATGCCAAAATGAAAAATAAGCTACTCCTGTTAGGTTCACAGGGAAATTGCTGCCACAGAAGCCACAAGAAAATCAACCAAAGACTTCTGTAGGTTTAGGAAAGGGGCATTCATTTTTTTTAAAATTATTATTATTATTACTATTCTTGTGCACTTGGCAAGGTTGTTTTTGTCTTTTTAGGGGGAAGGAAGGAAGGATATCCTTTTCCTATTAAAAAAAAAATGTTTCTCATCTTGCAACAGGCTTGATCTTAGCATTGAAATAAACCTAAACTGCAAACTTAATGGCTGCGTAAATGTCATAAGGCTGATTGTGTTCAAACTAAATTCTCTTTCCTTTCCTTTTCCTTGAAAAGGATTGTCAACTCATAAAACATTTTGTATACACGTTTTATAGTTGACAACAGAAAGAAGCGGCAAAGAGCAGACGGCAGTGTGGAATCGAAAGTACGTTCCATTCATGTTTTCCTCAGAGACTGATTAGAGGGCTGAAGCTTCTGCCAGGAAAAAAAATCTAATTGGAGAGCATAATCAATGACTCTTGGCTATGGACGTGTTTCATTGGATGATACACCCGAGGGGTGTGGTGGGGGAAGCAGGATCAAGGGTGATAGTGAATTACACATCTCAAGAGTTGGCTACACCCAGGTTAGTGCCAGATGTAGAATGGTAGCTTCCTCATTAGTTTTGGGAGTGTGGCTCGAAGCTCATGATTTAATTGGAGTAACTGCGGGAACCCTGACAATGATCTTATGGCAGTAGAATTACTGGGGGTTTCACCTGATGAAAGAATACTCAACATTACATAAGTTCACAATTACAGGTGGTCCTCGACTTACAACCACAATGGAGCTCAACATTTCTGCTGCTAAGTGAGACAATTTGTTAAGTGAACCTTGCCCCGTTTTATGACCTTTCTTGCCCCATTTGTCAACTGAATCACTGCAGTTGTTGAGTAACATGGTTGTCAAAGGAATCTGGCTTCGCCATTGACTTTGCTTGCCAGAAGGTCGCAAAAAAGTGATCCCATGACCCCAGGACACTGCAACCGTCATAAATACGAGTCGGTTGCCTGCATCACAACCATGGAGATGCTGGAACTGTCATAAGGGTATAAAACAGTCATAAGTCACTTTTTTTCAGGGCAGTTGCAACTTCCAACAATGACCAAATGAACTGTTCTAAGTCGAGGACTAACTGTATAGAAAACTGTAAATGTGCTGAACGCTGCATTCCTCCTTCACCCCAAACTATAGGCATCTGGATTCAGAGGTGTGGATAAACGATGTGGAAGGACAATCATGTTAATCTACAGAGTGGTATTGTAAGCCATAAAATCTATGGCCACAACATTTAGCCTAAGGTTGGAGTAACCACTGATGCCTTGATTTGCAACAGTGATCCCATAACCAGCGCTGGTGTTGGGTACAAACTAGGCCAGGGGTGTCAAAGCTCAAGGTCCGTGGGCTGGATCCATCCCATGGGGTCCTTAGATCTGGCCCATGGGGCCTGCCTTGGAAACAGTGAAGGGCCGGCACATGGTGCATCTGCCAGAGAAAACAGCTTGGGAGGGGCGCATGCTTGTGTTTTCGGCTGCGATGACCTCCTGCAACCCTCTGCCAGTGAAATCAGAGTTTTTGGGAGGCCGCACACAGGCCTCCCAGTTTAGATTTTAGATATTTTTAGATACTAGATATTTAGATTTTAGCAATGCATTCGACAAAGTAGACCACAACCTACTTCTTAGTAAGCTAGAAAAAAGTGGAATAGATAGCACCACCACTAGATGGACTCGCAACTGGGTGGCAAATCGTACTCAACGAGTAGTCCTTAATGGGTCTAAGGTCTACATGGAGGGAGGTAAGCAGTGGGGTGCCACAAGGTTCTGTCTTAGGCCCTGTACTCTTCAATATCTTCATTAACGACTTAGATGAGAGAATAGAAGGGGAACTTACCAAATTTGCAGATGATACTACACTGGCAGGAATAGCTAACACCCAAGAAGATAGGCTCAAGATCCAGATGGATCTTGACAGACTAGAACGCTGGGCCATATCTAATAAAATGAAATTCAATATAGAGAAAAGTAAAGTCCTACACCTAGGCAAGAAAAACCAAAAGTACACATATAGACTGGGTGAAACCAGGCTCAATAGCAGTAACTGAGAGGGATCTTAGAGTCTTAGTGGACAACCAGCTAAATATGAGCCAGGAGCCACCAAAAAAGCTAATGCAGTCCTAAATTGTATTAATAGAGGGATACAATCAAGATCAAGGGAGGTACTAATACCACTCTATAAAGCCACACATGGAATACTGCATCCAGTTTTGGTCACCACACTTAAAAAAAAAATGTTGAGACTAGAAAAAGTAGTAAAAAATGTATTAAAATCCCACCACTGCCGGGGAGGGCTCCAGAAGGCTATTGTGGCCGAAAATGGAGCCTCGATAAGTGGCTTCAAGCTGGCCTCACCCACTCACCCCCCCCACCCCCAGGTCCAACACAACCCTGATACGGCCCTCAATGAAATCGAGTTTGACACCCCTGAACTAGGCCATTTGAAGTAGTATGATGTCCACAGGACATGAAAACCAAAAAGGGTGTTTGGCTGATTTAATTGTGGCCAATGGATTATGATCAGTCAACCATGATACAAAAATACTTCCGGTTTTTCAAATAAATCACCCTCACACCTACGATCAGCAATACTTTTTTTAATAGAGGCCTCTTATGTCATGCAAACAATTGAGCAAATTAGAAAAAATCAAAATACAAAGATAAATCATACGAGTTTACGATTAAAATGACACAACCACCAACATTCTTCTCCCATGCCAGATACAATAGTAAGGTTATGAAAGACAAATGGGGAACGGGGTATGGCTTTGAATATTTATTGCTAGCTTCCTTTCCACGTTTAGTTTTGATGTGTTGGCCTGTTTTTGAATTTGTAGCAGGGCAGGGAAGCGAAATGGGGCACCCGGTGCTTGGAAGAATCCTCCTCAAAACAGATTTTACACCATGCGTTCTTGTGTCTTAAAGATTACTGTGGACTTTCAGAGAGGGAGACGGTGTGTATCCAGCCTCTTGCATCCTCTAAAATCTGGGCATTGCCTAAAATCTGGGCATTGCCTAAAATCTGGGTGTTTTTTGTTTGTTTTTTGAGGATTGCAATGGCAACCAAGGCCAAAAAGAGAATGTTTTTCTGGGGACACCATTAAGGCCTCTCTATCTTGGGGTGTCAGGATGGTCAAAGAACCAAACCAAGAATTCAGGAAGTTTTTAAAGACTTTTCTTGATTGGATCAGACACAAGAATGCTTTTGACCTAGCTCCCGTTTTGAATAAATTTTGTACAAAATAATAGGGGGGGGGGGGGGGGGAAAATGGGGGGGGGGGGGAGAAAACTCAAGTCCTTTCTACCTGCAGGGGAGATGTGATCCACCAAGAAAATGACAAAAGCCGTGCGGTTTTGAGGTTCACCAAGAAGTGGACCTCAAAATCGCCTGGCTTTGTGTTGGACAGTTATGAGAACAAAACCCCTTTTATAAGCATTACCATCTCAACATGCGTTGATTGAACGTGGGCAATGATACCCAGTTATGGTCAGTTCCCGACTATCTGCTTGGTCCTTTAGGGACAGAAGCATCTGGATTTGGGGTGGGTAAAAAGGTAATGCATGCCAAACTCAATAAAGACCAGCTGTTAAAGGATCCTAGAGAAACCAAAAAGGGTTGGAAATGAAAGCGGCTTTTAGAAGCAGTTTTTGCTTTATCAAAAGACATGTATATATAAAAAAAAACATTGTAAAATATTTTTTAAACCCTGATTAGAAAAGCCTTACCAAGACGTTTTGTATCCCTGAGTATAAAAGAGGGTCAAAGCTCCTGAGCTTTTGAGCCCTTCCTTTCCTAAAGGATAACAAAATCTAAGAAAGAAGAAAGAAAATGGCTGGAGGACCTCCCTGAGATTAAAAAATTAAGACGCCGAGATTTGCTAGACCGGCTCTTCAGCTGGAGTGCATTGGGTGGCCCATCACAGCTGAGGTCGAGGCGGGAGCGATAAAAACTTCTCCTTCGTGGAACTGGGGCACATAAACAGCAGCAAACGTAGTTGTGTTGTAGCCCTGAGGCGGTGGAGGCAGCTGGTGGACGGGGCCAAGACCATGGGGCGGAGCTTGGAGTGGCCCATGAGGACAAGCTTGGGGTAGAATGGGGCCATCGGACTCGTCCCGAGACCCAGCTCCTGAGTTGCGCTTGCCCTTCTGACGGCGGTTGCAAAACCAGACACGTACTACCTACACGGATGAGAGACAGGAGACAAAGCACATGTAAGTTGTAGTAATAGCATTTAGACTTATATACCGCTTCACAGTGCTTTTACAGCCCTCTCTAAGCGGTTTACAGAGTCAGCATATTGCCCCCCAACAATCTGGGTCCTCATTTTACCGACCTCAGAAGGATGGAAGGAAGGCCGAGTCAACCTTGAGCCTGGTGAGATTCGAACTGCCGAATTGCAGGCAGCCGACAGACAGCAGAAATAGCCTGTAGTACTGCGCTCTAACCACTGCATCACCACAGCTCTTAGCAAGAGCACTTGAGACTTATATACTGTCCCATAGTGCTTTATAGCACTCTTGATTTACAATGTCCCCAACGCTCTGGGCCCTCATTATACTGACCAAGGAAGGATGGAAGGAAAGATGGGTGGAGCTGTTCAGGATCGAACTCCTGGCTGTGGGCAGAGTTGGCCTGCAATCGCAATTAGACTTATATACCGCTTCATGGTGCTTTACAGCCCTCTCTAAGCGGTTTACAAAGTCAGCATATTGCCCCTCAACAATCTGGGTCCTCATTTTGCTGACTCGGAAGGATGGAAGGCTGAGTCAACCTTGAGCCTGGTGAGATTTGAACTGCCAAATTGCAGGCAGTCAGCAGAGGTAGCCTGCAGTACTGCATTCTCACCACTGCACCACCAAGGAGGGACAGTCGATCACTATGCTAATGCTCTCTGCAATGGCCTTCTCCACATAGCTCCTTGCACAGCCCATCCTCTAGAACAGGGGTCCCCAGCCACTGGGTCGCGGACCGGTACCGGTCCGTGAAACATTTCCTACCAGGCCGCTGGTTTGCTGGGCGCCGCCATCTTGTTTGATGAGAAAGTGCTTCTGGGTGAGCTTTTCCGGTTGGAAAGCGGTGTTTGGGTCCTGAAGGAATCCTCGTGCCTTAGTTTCATAGAGGGGGGGGGGGCTTTGAATGAAACTAAGGCGCAAGGATTCTTTCAGCACCCAAGGCAAGACGAGCCGAGCGACCGTCCCAAAACGAAGCCCATCGACAAAGGTACAAAGGAGGAGTTGAAGGTGGCGGGGAGAAGCGGGGACGGCTGGCTGGCCGGTCGCTCGGCTCGCCTTGCCTTGTTATGCGTGCTGATGCCGGTACCGGGCCGCAGATCATTTTGTGATGCCAGTACCGGGTCGTGGCACAAAAAAGGTTGGGGGCCACTGCTCTAGAAGGGCTCTACGTGGCCTGCCCTTTGAATGTTGCAACAGCAGAAGAAACCCTTGAGGTTTATCTCTGGGTTTAACAACCCTACATCTACTGAACAGGGCGGCCATAGCTCTCTCAGCACTTAGTTCCTATCCTTGAAATGGGAGTCACGGGAGATTTTAAATGACAATGCAGAACTGAAGAAGCTTCTTGGATGAGAGGCGAAATGTCTTCAAGCAAAACAAAGAAAATCCAGTTGCCTTTTGGAAAAAACCAAAAACAAAACACCTTTGGGATAGCCATGATCTGGATAACTGAGAATCTCCACAGACAAATGTTGAAGGAGACATCCCAATTGGCTTTACACATTGCAATCAAGCTTGGTTTATTTCATCAGGTGGAACTTGGGTTTAATAAACCACCAATGATTCCATTTCCAATGAAGGAGAATGTTTGTAGCTCAGGCTTGAAATGAGGGGCCCTTGCTGGTCTCAAGCGTTTGGTTGTTTTCTTGCAGGCATTTCATTACCCAACTAGGTAACATCATCAGTGCTAGTCTGATGATGTTACCTATTCCGGGTACTGAAACATCTGCAAGAAAAACAACCAAACTCAGAGAGCACCAAGGACCCTTCATGATTCAGTCTGCACCAGCTAAGCAATAATCCATGGTTTCCAGCTGGCAGTGATTAGATTCACACAACACAGTAAGCTTAAAAACAACCAGTCATATGGACCGTAATGAAATGTGAACCCAATGAAAACAAGACCATAATAAAGCCTGTCAGCTTTGTCAGAGTATATTCGTGAACTAGAACAGAGCATGGTAACAAGGTCAGCCAATGAACAGGCATAGCAACTAAGTCTGCCAATGAGGACTGCTTGGGAACTGAAACTAGAAGTAGCCTAGGCCTGGCTCTCTATTAAGCTCTGCAGCTATGTTAAGATCTGTCTATTGAAGATGAAACTGCTTCTCTCCTCTGCTGTGTGTCTTGCTTGCCTTCTGGACTAAAATAAAATTGATGTCTGTTTCTGAGGTGAAATTGAGTTGCTGTTCTGTTCCGAACCTGTAACATGTCTGCTTCTATTTCAATTTGCTCCATGTTGGAGAAATCTACAACTGGTATTATAAAATTTACTTTATATGTTTATAAAGAAGTTAAATGAAACCTCAGCCATCTGTGTTTATTTTTCTGGTGCTGAATTTACACTGCAATACTCCGAACAAGCTTTCCAATTTTATTTCCAAGGGATTTGCTCTCTGCCAGTTTCATTCACCTCAGAATTGTGGTAACGATAAAAGACTACACCAGAGTGCTTTGGACATGCATCAGATACCGACACAACAATTTGTAGCTTGAGTGCTGTGTCATTTGTAAATGAACAACAGGGATGCAAAATGGCTACAACTGATACAATCCAGAAGACCGAGCACTCTCGGAGTTGTCCTTCCTTTCTTCAGGATTAGAATCCAAACCATTAGATGAAAGCAAATTGGGAAAGAGTACATATAGTAGATTTGAAATATATATGCAGGAACTCCTCGACTTACAACCACAAGTGAGCCCAACATTTCTGTTGCTAAGTGAGACAGTTCTGTGAATTAGGTGGCTGGAAATACCCAGAATGAACTATCACTCTAATCTTCTTTGGTCCCAGGACAGAAAAAGAATTTTAAATTTGTCATTGTTTGCTAAGGCAAAAATAAATAAATAAATAAGTGTTTTGAAACACAACCCACTCAGACCGGTCAATTGGCAACTATCTCCATGTCTGATGACAATGACTTTTACAATTTAACTCTGTGTGGTGACATGCTACTGAGGAATTCCTTTCTGGCCCTTTCGGACTATCACTTCTTCTTTGGCCCCAGGACATAAAAAGAAGTTTAATTTTCCATTGTTTGCTAAGGCAAAAATAAATAAACATATAAAAGTTTTTTGTTCTTTTGGAATTCAATTCATTCAAAAATATCAGTCTGATTTCTTCCAAGCTCTGAATCAAAGCGTGCCCACTTTTGAATCAGATATCAAAATCTGACCCTGGAGAGCTAGGATTTCGTGCACCGAGATGGTGGCTGCTTTGGGGGAAATGCAGTAAGACGGGAGGAAGGGGTCACTCACATCCTTCTCCAGGCAGAGGTCGTCAGCAATCTGTGAAATCTCCTGCAGGTTAGGCTTGGGGCAGCGCAGAAAGTACGACTCGAGCGAACCCCGCACGTTGTTCTCAATGCTGGTGCGCTTGCGTTTCCGAGCCTGGATCATGGCCGACTCCATGGAGCACAGTTGCTGAACAGAGGACGAGAGCTATGTTTGGGATCACCGATTGGAGCGCACAACAACCACTTCTGACCCACCCAATTAAGACAGCACCTTCTCCACCTCCGCTTAAAGTTATCACAGCCACGGAGGGAGCAAAAAATAATGGCTTAGGATGTCACAGAACGAAGGCAAATATACGTGTCCCAGGATAATGTTGCAGGATCCAATCTGGGTCGGTCACCGGAACCAGCGGTTTTGTCTTCCGAGTGTTTGGACTCATGCTGAAGCCCCTCTGCTGGTTCCGGTGACTGACCCAGATTGGGTCCCGCTTTAGATATCTCCAGCATCTGCTACTTACAAGATTAAGCAATTCTATGCTGTGATAAGTCCCACTGCAACAATCTAAACGTCTCCCTTGGCTACCTTTTGGTTTTTTTTAACCCTCTATCTTTGTCATTTCTGAACAGAGGTAATGTTCGACTTATGATCACAGTCAAATTTCAGCATTTCTGTCACTAAGCAGCACAGTTGTTCTGTGCATCACACTGGAATTTATATTCCTTTTTTTCGCCATGGTTATTAAGCGTAGGGCTGCAGATTCACTGTTAAGTGTGAGCCACGTGGCCATTAAGTGAATCTGGTTTCGTTAAATTTGCTCTCAGAAGTCAGAGCAAATTTAGGAAGGTCGCAACAGGCGATCACATGACCAAAAGATGTTGCCACCATTGTAAACGCATGATGATTGCTGATGCCTGAAATTTGACCATGTGACCATGGAGGTTTCCGAGACGGTTTTTAAATCACTTTTTTCAATGCTGCTCTAACTCTGATCGCTAAATGAACGGTTGCAAGTCGAGGCCTACCTGTCCTAGCACCCTAACATTATCCCATTACCCCATTCAAACCGGATGCCCTCTCTCCTCCATTTTGTAAAGCCGTCCCTTTGACCCATGTTTCAATGAGCGACGTATCCAAACTGGATATTCCTTTCACCTTCAAACCTATGAATCTTTCCAGTCGCCAATTTCCTCCACTCTCTCCGATTTTGCAACTCCTCCTTCTAAAATTTCTTTCACATGTCAAGTTAAATGAGCAACTCTGCTAAATTAAGTCCACCAGATACTTTTAGAAAGCTCACAAGCCCACATAGGTGGTTTATTGCCCTGTTCTACTGTTAATCAACCAACTGTTATTTAAAATCTGCTACCCATGATTCAGGAAAGAGTAAAGGTAAAGGTTCCCCTTGCACATAAGTGTTAGTCATTTCCAGCTCTAGGGGGCGGTGCTCATCTCCATTACAAAGCCAAAGACGCTGTCTGAAGACGTCTCCGTGGTCCTGTGGCCGCCACGACTAAACAACGAAAGCACACGGAACGCTGTTCCCTTCCCACCAAAAGGGGTCCCTATTTCTCTACTTGCATTTTGACCTGCTTTTGAACTGCTAGGTTGGCAGAAGCTGGGACCAGTCATGGGAGCTCACTCCGTTACGCGACACCAGGGATTCAAACCGCTGACCTTTCTGATCAACAAGCTCAAGCATCTTAGCCGCGACCACAAAGTAGTAACCGTGGATAACTTGGGTCTACTTGAACTTGTCTAGTCCCCTTTCAAAATGATCTAAATTGGCAACTATCACCATGTCTGATGGCAGTGACTTTCACAGTTTAACCCTGGGTGGTGACATGCTTCTGAATCTCTCTGGAACTCCTTTCTTAAAGGATGGTCCTGACCCTTTCCTAGTGAAGGAATAGCCGTGTCATGTTCATACCTTTGTCCAGCTCTACAATATACTTTTGGAGATTTCAAAGTCGATGCAATAGTCCAAGAGGGATCTTTCCATTCGTTGTTCCATTTAATTCTAAATTCCATTCTCAGTGATTCCAAGCATAGAATGTCCCCTTTTAAAGCAGCAAACTGTGAGTTAACATGTCATCCACCATGATCCCCAAATCAGGGCCCTCTCAAGTCCCAATATTGGGTGCAAGCTGGATTTTTCGTGCCAGTGTGCATCAATTTTCATTTACATGCATTGAACTGCATTTGCTTCTCTGAAGTCCATTCACCAGCCCAGGGAAATCCTTATGGGATTTTCTGTACTCTTAGATTTTACTATCCTGGATAGTGTCTAATACCATCAACGAATGTGGTCTCCTTATCTTACTGTTCACCTGAACATATAGAAACTATTTAAAAAGTAATTGAACCATGAAGGACTCTTTTCAAATCTCTAATTTGAAAAAGGTTCATTTTTATTTTTCTGTTTTTCTAGGCAGCATCTCTGTTTTATCTAATGACTGTTGAATTTTGATTATAAACTTTATAAAGAGAAACTCAAAAGCTTTTTGAACACCCAGGTATGCTGCCTATTAAATTACCCCATCTATATTTTTGCTGACATCTTAAAAAGAAAGTGAATGAGACAAGACTTTGAGGGGGGCATGTTAGTTTATTTTTCAGCAAGATTTGTTCGGAAAGTTAAAACTTCCTCTGTCAACTTTTTAACCCAGAATGGACATAAAGCTGATTTTTAATTAATCCATTAGGCTTCTCGCTTCATTTTTATTTCAGCTCATCAGATTTCCTTCTTGTTCTACATCAGGGGTGTCAAACTCGCGGGCTGCGGGTTGGATGCATCTTGCACTGGCCACACCCACACCCAGTTTAGCGAAGGGGGAAAATCACGATAAATCATGTGACAATAATGGGATGGTGCGAGTTTCACACCCCTATTCTACATCTTCAAAAATGAAGGCAAGAATAAATACCTTTATTTGGTTTACTGTAATTTCTTCTCTCCTCTTTTAGTGCACCTTCAAATTCTGTCTTGACTTCCTGTTCCCTTCCCTTTCCACAATATGCATACCGTTTTATTGGTCACTGTGTCTTTTTTGAGTTGAATTGTTTTGTCATTTTTATAAAATGCGCATTTTTGGCTATTTCAGTTTGCGTAATTAAAAAGTGTGGATTTTAATGCTGCGCTAGCGTATTTACAGAACATTCAACTGATTATTAAGGAATTAAAGAATACAATTAGAGAGCTTCAAATATTGACATGATCGAGATTCCTCTAGATTGATCATACCCTCCTATAGAACCATTCAGGTCCCAGTGAATGAATGAATGAACGAATGAATGAATAAATGAATCTGCAGAAATACTGAATGGAGGACGCTGATTCGTATAACCAAACTGTATCTTTGCTGAGGAATATAGCAAAAATTCATCCAATTTCCTTTGCCACTGCAACTAAAATCTAGGCACTGCAATTTTTTCACCAGCCTGCTGTTCCCATGCTTAGAACGTAGAATCACAGGACTGGAAGGGACCTGGGAGGTCTTCTAGTCTACCCCCCTGCTTGAGCAAGAGACCCTATATCTTTCCAGACAAGTGGCTGTCCAGTCTCTTCTTAAAAAGCCTCCAGTGATGGAGCAACCACAACTTCTGAAGGCAATCTATTCCATTGGTTGATTGCTCTCACTTGTTGGGTGTAGGATGAGGGTGGTTCATTCTCCGAGATTGTGGGTTGGTTTCCGAACATTTCATTACCAGGCTAGGTAACTGTCATGCCCCTGTCGGAGTCTGACTCAGAGGAGGAAGCCGAACAGGTGACAGGGAGTGAGAATGTGGCTCCTTCGGCTGTGGAAGAAACTGGGGAAGGGCAAAGTCCAGCTGGGCAGAGCAGGGGAGAGGTAGAGCAAGGGGAGGGAATTCAGAGGAAGACCCCAGCCTACCCCCCTCTTCATCCTAGGGCATGCAGGGAGGAACAGAGAGGGGAGCAATGTGAGTTGCATGGCTTACGGGGGAGGAAAGGGCCCTGATTTCCTTCATTAGCTGCAGCTGGGAACACAGTGTTTAAAAGAGGAAGCTGCACACAGCAAGCTGTTGGGAGCAAACATGACTTTATCTTGCATCGTTATGGCTTATCTGTGTTCCTGTCTTCCCAATTGTGTGAGTTTTGCTGTGCTTTCAAGTCTGAAATTCCTTCTCCTGCCCTGTCAAGCTAATTACTTCAGCTTGGTTTGTTTGGATTTTTAGTTACAGTTTGTATGTGCCTTGTTTTGGACTGAATTTTCTACAGTGAAAGGCTGTTTCTGGGAGAGTTTTTCTCCAGCCGAAGGTAGCCTGGACATTGGGGGCAAAATTGGAGATAATAAAGGGACTCTTATTGCTTATATGACTATGTTGCCTTTGTGCTATGCTCCGGGTCTTCACAGTAACATCTTCAATGGACACTCCTATTCCTGAAGCCTTTATAAGTAGAGGAATACTGACACTGACATCCTACAAACTGAAGATGTTACTTAGCCTGGTAATAAAACATTCTGAAGCCAACCCACAAGCTCGCAGAATGAACTTTCACCCTCAAAATAATATGTATTCCTGCTTTTATTTGGGGTCAACCTCATCATTTAGGAGATGTACTGAAAAACATTCCAATGAGCAGATCTTTTGAAATAGCAATTTTTGTGTGTGATGTTCTGGACCACCCCAATTCTGAATGGTGCTCTTTTCATTTCAAATGTTAAAACAAAACCCTTTAAATTTTATACTCCTTGGGAAAGAGGGAAGTTCACATCTGCCTAGAACTCTCAACAAAATGCCATTATTAATAATTATTGGAACCAATGAATAAAACTTAGTCTCCCAAATGAAGAATTCGTTCAGGTCCTGGAGACAGGATAGCCATTCATCCATCCTAGGAACTCACCTCCTGCAAATTCTCGTTACTGTCAGCCTCTTGAAGCCAACGCTGAAGGAGGGGCTTCAGTTTACACATGTTCTTGAAGCTGAGTTGCAAAGCTTCGAAGCGGCAGATGGTGGTTTGACTAAACATCTTCCCTGCATGAGTTAAGTGGAAAAACAAGAACAACCAGATTGATATTTAGAACAGGAATCTAGTACAGGGGTCTCCAACCCTGGCAACTTTAAGACTTGTGGACTTCAACTCCCAGAATTCCTCAGCCAGCTGGCAGAAAAATTCTGGGAGTTGAAGTCCACAAGTCTTAAAGTTGCCAAGGTTGTAGATCCCTGATCTGGTAGGTCAGATGTTGATTCTATGGGTCTCGATCTCTCAGTCTCATTGACTTCAAGGGGCTTTTTGTAAAGCGTTCATGCTTTGTAGCAACTAAAGAAAAATAGGGAATATTCAATATTGTTGGCAATTACTTTGCTAATAATTCAAGTGTTGGAAGAATCTTTGAAAGCAATCTAAGCCAACTTCTGGCCCAGTGTGTTTTCCATACATTTTAGATTCAAATGCACCAATTATTTTCAGTAGAAATCAAAATAAAATTAGACTGTCTACTTCAAAGAAAGGAAGGAAGTAAAGAAAGAAAGAAAAAAAGGAGGGAGAGAGAGAGAGAAAGGAAGGGAGGGAGGGAGGGAGAGATAGAAAAAGAAAGGAAGGAAGGAAAAGAGAGAGAAAGAAAAGAAGAAAGGAAGGAAAAGAAAGAAAGAAAGAAAGGAAGGAAGAAAGAGAGAGAGAGAGAGAGAGAGAGAAAGAAAGAAAGAAAGAAAGAAAGAAAGAAAGAAAGAAAGAAAGA